TTGGTAAAGCCAAAGATTAGTGCAAATCTTACACTTTAGTAAATATATTCAGTTGCAAATAGCAAAATGCCATTTTATAATATTTTAGAGTTTTATAGTATAATTTTTTCAATATAACATTTTTTTAGAGTCTAAATGCATATGTATTTTGACTTTTGAAAAAAATATTCCTAAGTGATGCTTGTCTGTCTGCCTACTTAAAAGGAAGAAAAACAATGTGAAAGGTAGTGGTACAGAATGATTAAGCACTTTTGGCGCTAGTCTCTTGCAAAACAAAAGATAATTGTGCAGCGTCAAACTGTTGAAGTAGAAGTTGCCCTTCAACAAACTCATTTTGTTAATTAAAATCCTCCTTAAACTGAAAAATATATTTAGGTCATATAATGAATGTTAGTGGAAAGTGATGGAGCCATAGCTTCCCTCTCTCCTCACAAGCTGAAACTTCCAATAGCTGCTGTCAAGCCTGTTAATGTAGTTTTAAAAATACTTTGACTGACTTGATATTTAATAACTGTACATAATTTGTTAAAAAATTCTGGCTAAAAATCTATAGTGCTTTGCAAAAACTATACCTCTGTACATTGAGCTTTCAGGTAGTAGTATTTGAACAGTCATCGTAGGGAAATTTTTTTTTTTCTTTCTAACTGGTCATTCAGACTAAGGATGGGTATTTTATTAAAAAATTATGCTTGCACACACACACACATAAACAAACGGAGATGTTAGGACATCTGTAGATACATCTCTTACTGAGTCACTACCAAAGCTGGTTTTGTGTTCTGGGATATACTGAGATGTATCTCAAAAGGACCATATGAGACAGAACATTTATCAAGAGTCTTACTAATAAAAAGAAACTGTCTGTAAGTAAGCATTTAGAATATTTGAACTTGAACTATCCCTGTTTTTTCTGTTCTGATGAATAGTTGCTGGTTTTTTTTTTTTTGTTATGCATATCTGTGAGGTAGCATCTAGAGTTTGACAATGAATACTAAGGTATAAAGTAGTCATAGTCATTAGTGCTCGTGTTGGATGAATGCTGTTGTTTATGAAATCTGTTTTTATCAAAATTCCATTAGCTGTTTAAAGTAGAATGTAACAGTACTTGAGAAATTGTTCAGTACAATTTTTTTCTTAAAATAGTAAGACTTTTTTTTAGTAAATAATGAAAATTATACATACAAAAGTTCTGTTTCTTCACCTCTGTTTCCATTTTAAATTAAACAAATCTTATATTACTGATCCAATTCAGTGGAACAGACATGACCTGTGTTTTTAATATGAAACAAATCTCAAAGAGTTCTGCCTAGAGAAATTTAGAATAGAGCAAAATTAATTTTAGGGTTAAAAAAACCAGTGTTACAAAATACTTAAAACTCAAATACAGAGGAGAGAGGAAAATATATGGAGCTAAGTTTAGGTATATGAGTTTACGATTTCACTAGCTAGGCCTAGGAAGTCTCTGATAAATTCTTTTATGCTGTCTTAAACTCTCTAATACTTTAATGCATATCTCTAAAGGCAAATTGTTATAGCATGGAACATTTTCTTAGATTATATAATTTTCTTGCAAATTCCAGAGAACAGTACCTTAATTTTGATAATGAGTAATTTTCTTTTGAGAACTGGGGTTACTGTAGATTTTTAAAGCCTGTCTGTGGGTGAGATTTAATTTAATCCCTTGAGTATTTAAGAAGCATTCCTGAGACCTTCACCAAAAAGTGGCAAGATTAGCACTTGCAGTTTATTGACAGGATGCCTCATAGGAAAGACATTTATCTGTAAGGGTATTGTTTTTTAAAATTGAATAGAGTCTGTCTTAAACTCTGGGAATATACACACTTTGTGAAATACAGAAAGAATGGAGCAGTTTCTTTCCATACAGCTCATGGCACAGGGACATAGCACTTAACAGAGGTAAGAATTACATGTTGACAAAACTACACAGTAACTAATTTCCTATCAGATAAAAATGTAAGTGCTTGAGGATTAAGAAAGTCTTAACAGTCCCTGTCATAAATTGAATTCAGGCATACTCAAATGTAAGTCATTATTCAGCAATAAAATTGTATCCTTACATATATGCCTGTACCCAAATATATGCTGGAGAATGACGCAGGTTACCAGAAGGTTTGTTTTTCTTGCTGGGCTTAAAAAACCCAGGAAGAACTAAATCATATCTTGTGTTCCAAGATTTTAGTATGTGAGACTGCTCAAACTCTTTGCCTCCTGTAATCTTTTTGAGAGAACTCTTTGTGATTAACTGGTCATAAAATCTTGTCTGCATTAGCAGATCTTTATTAATCCCGTGCCCACCCCAACAAACAAACAAATACTCTGCGGTACTGATTCTACTTTCACATACCCCAGTGTGGTCCTGTTCCCATCAAAGTATTTCCTTCAGATTTATAGAAGAATAATCAGATCCTTTCCTCTTATTTTATCTATGGACTACGCATTGAATGACTTATTTTAAAGCAGTTGTGATTCAATGGGGATGTTTTTAATTTGCTGCCTGTTCTCTTTACCTCTGAGGAAAGAATTTTGTAAATGCTGAATAATTTTAGAACATGTTTTCTTGGTTAAGGGTTGGATCATATTTTAAATTAGTTTTAAGAGGAAGGAAATCGTGTAAATGCTGTGGAATTCAGATAAGCACCATGCATAGGAAATAAATACTTCAATTTAGGGTGCCTAGAATTGGTAGGTCAAGCTGATGATAATAAAGGACCAGATCTTAACTTTGTTTCCAAGAATGCGTAATCAACGTTCTCTCTCCTGTTTTATTTCTTTTTTGCTTCAGAAATTATTTTGGTGAAGCTGAAATGTGCAATTGCTTAAATATTCCACAGGGTGTCATGAGGTAGTTGTTGGAATCATTAATACTTGGATGAAAGTAAAGAAGGAAACATAGTGTGCAGTCCTCTGAATGCCAGTTAATGTAATTTTAGATGTGACTAATACACATGCCATAAAATAAAAAGTTCTTAACTCATTAACACATGTATCTTATTTCTGTATCTGTATAAAATATACACACGAAGAAAAATATTATGAGAGGTCGTTTACAAGAGTGAGCTATTCTATGTCAGGTCTTCCAAAAAACCTTTTTATATATACCTTAGTATTTTATAGTTTACAGAGCGAGCAGAATCTTTGGCCCATAGCAGTAACCTGACATACCAAACTACGTATACAAAAAAGAAAACAGAAAAATAGAAAAAAGGTACAATACTTGTATTTGCCATAGTGTTATAAAGAATTTCAAATTGGAATGTGCTCCTCCAAATTTACTTCCAAATTTTATTTTACTTTTATTTTAATTTTTATTTAAGTTCTTTTAAAATTTAAATGTATTTAAACAAACTTTATACCGTGCACACGGCTGTACTGTGGATTTTATGATTTGTTAATTATAGATATATATGATCTCAAAACTTAACTTCAGGCTTTTTTTCCTGCACATATATAATGTAGTAGGAGGAGAATTTTTACCAAAGTATGCTCCAAATTAACGTGTGTTTGATTATGGTGATACAGTTTTGCATATGAGGACCAATTTTTTATATGCATAACTGTTGACTTCTGTGGAGCTGCACATGCAGCTTCAGGTTTGTAAAAGAATCTTTAAATACAGTTTAACAGTAATTATGACAGATCCTACTTCTGTTTGAATCTGAATTGCTTTAAATGGAAATTACATTGGCTATGAGAAAAATTACATTACTTTATGAAATGAACAGCAAAACTTCATTTCAGTAGCAACAGAACGTGATCCAAAGTGTAAAATCACTGATGAAAGTAAGGATTTCAATCTCTGTTAACAGTAATAATTTGTCTAATTTTAACAGCATATTTAAAGCCAGTTTTGAACAAATGATACCTTGTGGATTTAGGCACAGTTTGTTGTATTATATAAAGTGGCATACTAAACTAATAAGCTAGTTAATTTTCTTGTTACTATTTATTTGTGCTAAGTATTATGGAACAAATTTTCATGCTATGCCAGGGGCATAATAGCAAGTGGCACAGAGAGCACAGGATGGAGGGAGGTTGATTCTTCTGACAGACAGTTAATAAGGTTATACACATATGACATACCACAGGCCCTCTCTGCATTATGCCCAGCATGTCATAGTGCCTTACAGCCATAGAAGGTCATTGCCATGACAGTCAGAAGTAGAGAGCTTTTATTCAGATTTGCTTCCAAAATCCATGTGGTCCTGTGGACAATTGTTTGTGCAAAACCTTTCTGACTTAACCACTGTAAATCATGACCTGTTTAACAAACGGGTGTGTTTATAGGTACCTTAGCAGTGTGTTTAAATACTTGCTAGAGGAAGAACTAGACCTGTTTAAAGCAGTTTTGATATCCAAAATAGTGACATACCTTAAATCTTCGTGGGGATGAAGGAACTGAATGGGAATGGTGGCCTTTGGGGTACTGGGTGGTTTGGAGTTTTTTGTTTCCGGGTTTGGCTTGTTGAAATATAAACATCCCAATCTCTGTCCAGGTGAGTTTCCTTTACAGCAGGGTATTGTGAAAGAAGAGGGTTTTAGATAGGTAGGTTGTAATCTTTCTTCTTCCTCAGTTTAAGGCTCACTGAACTCGCTTTACCTCTCCCTTTCTTTGTCCTTCTTATTGCAACTAGAATAATCTAAAGGGGTAATTCCACACATACTTTGAATTACTGAGATAATGCAGTACCTTAAACTAAGTGATTAATATCAGAAAATATTTAAATAATAAAATACCTGACTGCATTGAGATTTTTTTTCCTCTAATTTATTAGAAAATGGTACTTGTTAGCGAAAAAAAATAAAAATAGAACGGACAGAAATTAAAAACTGTTGACACTATACCATGTAAAAACTTGGCAGTATACTGAGGCATATGTATCATGTGTGATATGTATACATTCAAATGATTCTAGCACCCAAGTCCCTCTTTGAATGTTAAGAGAAAGTTGATGAATATTATGATCTGTTTTTATTTTCAGATTGAAAATCTACAGGAACAACTTAGGGACAAAGACAAACAACTAACTAATCTAAAAGACAGAGTGAAGTCATTGCAGACGGATTCTAGTAACACAGACACAGCACTAGCAACCTTAGAAGAAGCCCTGTCAGAAAAGGTAATGTTTTCTCATGGAACAGCATTATGTGCTGCTCTTGTGGCTGAAGTGTGTCCAGAAAGTGTCTTTTAAGTTGGTCTGGCACCTGTAACAAAGCCTGCGGGCCATGTCAGGAAAGAGGTGGCTCTGCTCTGGTAGGATGAGCAAGGTGTGATTCCCGTCTGATGAACTGAAACAGGACTTTGAGGTAAAGAAGGATGTCCTTTTCAGTGGGGGTGGAGTACATGGCTCAGGACATACCCTTAGTCAGTTGGATGAGTGGTTGTTCCCTGAAAGAACTGAAAGTCATGGACACTGGACTTAAAGAAGGTAGAGTTTCAAGTGTTTTTATGGCTTTGCAATCTTGATTGTCCTGTTCTTTTTTCTGTTAAGCAGAGCTTAACTGAAGAGCTAACAGCAGGTGACGGTACCAACTGTTACCTTGGCTTGCTCTTAGCACTATTGGTTTCCTATGCTCAATTTATAAGAGAAACTGTATTTCATTAAAAAAATGGAGAATTACTTTTTTTTTTTTTTCCTTTGGAAACTATATGCCTTTAATTTGAAAATATCTAGCAGAATGGATAAATCTGGACTGTTTAAATTAGTGGCAACATTCCTCCCAGTTTCAGTGAGGTCACGGTTTTTCATCCACTTAACTTTGAATACGAGATAATCCAAGTGAATTTATATGCCAAAAAAAAATAGTACAAGTATCCACTTTTTGCAGCTCACAGATCTTGAAGTATATATTTTAAATGTGTCAGGTGAGTGCGACTAATTAAATGATTATGTGCCATTCTGCAGTGTGTAATCCTAGGAAGGTATTTATGACTGCATATGACTTTAAAATGCCACTGTGGTGTTGGCACTAACACCTAAAATGCTAATGTTGGATTTTTATTTCTTTGTGTGTTTAATCACCTTACTAACATTTGCTTGGTCAACAATAGTGAAAAAAGTTGACGTTGATGGTACTTCTGTGGCTTCATATAGATAAGCTTACAGCATTTATGCAGTAAAGAAAGTACATGCATTTTGTGAATCTTTCACTGCTAATCTGGACACAGTGCTCACCAATCTCACAGCATATTATTTAAAAAATGACACAATGTGTTTTTTAATCCATTTTTCCTCCTTGTAAACTGTCTTTTCTGGATTAGTCTGCGTTGTCTCTTTCCCAAAATGCCGATAGAATGCAGCGAAGAGTTTAAAACAGTCCTTTAACCATCATGATACTGTTGTCAATGTAGAGAGCAGAGCGAGTGTCATACTGCAACCTTGCCAGTTCTTCTGTGCAAGTGAGCATGAAGTAGATCGTCAAAAGCCAAAGAAATCTTGTATCCCATTTTCTGCCTCAGCTGTATCTGCAGCGCTTCAGAGAAAATGCACTTGTGCAATACTTCTTGGCTGGGGTAATTTGCTAAGTTGCAGTAAGTCTTAAATTGTAATGTATTTCTCTGTTGAAAATATTAATGACAGTTTGTCAGGGTCCATAGAAGAAGCAGCAAGTGTGGAGGTATTGAATAGAACACATACAGTTGTCTTCTCACTACCAGAAATACAAAAGGTTAAGACATACTGGTTTAAAACCTAACCAAATTAGTTAGTGGCAATTAGTTGTTTTCAAGTAATTTTGTAACAGTGCCATTCTAACATATGTTGAAATAAACAAATAAGTGTAACAGTTTTTTATAATTTTGAAGAAGTTTTGTATATATCTGAAAATATTCTGTTATTCTCAGACATATGCAAACTGTAAAATGTTACTAAACTCAGGATGCATTATTTTTAATACCGTAGTGAGGATTTGTCCCAGAGTTTGTTTAAAAATTGTGCTATAGAATTTGTATATGTGATAACTTGAAATGTGACAACACTGAAGACCCTGAGGGTATGGAAATTTCGTGTCAAGCTTAATTTGATTGCCGTAGTAAAGTTTCAAAGTCCAATAAGTGATGCTAGTTTAAATGTTTTGGAAAAGTTAGATAAACTTAGATCCTTCTCTGAAATGTATTTTTGCAATTCATGTCTACTTCACTTGAAATTGCATGGATATATGTGAACAGACATTTTTTAAAAGAATCAGTGTGATTAGTGGTTTTTCCAAGTGGAATTGATTAGAACTCACATGGGGTCCCTAAGGTTGAATTCTGTACAAAGTAGTCACTTTGTGTACGTACAGTCAGCTGAGCACGGCATCTTTCCTGCAGTGTTTGCTAGCTATCCCAGATGCATACGCAATGGATTCCATGGGATGTTTTCCTCTGCCACAGGGGCTTCTGTCTCTTTGCAGCTGATGAAGGCAGGGGTATCTTTTATAAGCTAAGGGTTTTGAGAAGTGGCATGAAGTGGAGTTGTGCTATGGTGTCCGGTGGCTATTTCAGTCACTTATGGAGGAGTTGTACATAAAAGTTAGGTGGCAGTATATGAAGGGAAGAACTCTCTATGTAAGTGATACGCTTATCATTCTAAATTACTTCAGAAATACTACTTTGGTAACCTAAGGAAAAGATACACAGAGTTATTAAATAATAGCTTTTTTCTACAAATGAGCTTTATAACTGAGAGTGTCAGTTATTTTTTGACATAATTATGTAAATTAGTGTCTGTGTTACAATAGGATTGTATGGCTTGAATTTTAACAGAAAATTTTCGTTTCTTTGAATCTGTGTTATTTTCCTATGACTATTTTTCTGTATTTTGAGATCTGCAAGCTTAATTAAATTATTAACTAAATCATTAATATTTGTCCGATTTCTGAACAGATACATAACAGTGTAGCTCCCACACAGTTACTGGACGTCTTACAGTGTCTGGCGGTCTAGGTAGCAATACTGATGACAAACATTAAAATCTAGAATATCAGTTCTAAAAGACTAAAAATATTGCCCTGCCCTTTAACTTCATTGGCTAAATTTTCTTATGAGAGAATCATGTTGTAAAAATTCAACTTGATGATGCTTCTGATGGAATTTTGTGGGTTTTTTGTTTTTTTTTTAGTGTGTCACCAGTCACTGTGTGCTACTGGGAAATCTTTTTGCAATTGGGGAACTATTAGTATATTAGAATCACAGAATCATAAAATGTTTTGGGTTGGAAGGGACCCCTAGAGGTCATCTAGTCCAACCCCCCTGCAGTGAGCAGGGACACCGCTAACTAGATCAGGTTGCTCAGAGTCCCATCCAACCTGGCCTTGAATGTTTCCAGGGATGGGGCCTCCACTACCTCTCTGGGCAACCTGTTCCAGTGTTTCACCACCCTCATTGTAAAGAATTTCTTCCTTATATCTAGTCTAAACCTACTCTGGTTTAGTTTAAAACCATTACCCCTTGTCTTGTCACTATCACTTGTCACTATCATATTAGATAAAAACAAAGAGAATAGCAACATTGCAGAGTAGAATTAATATGAGCTTTTGAGAAATTTTGAGTATTTGATCTTAAAGCATTAGACACAATGAGGAGGACGTAAAAGCATCTCTCTGTGTGATTTTGACTGTTTATTGTACAGAGAAATCATGCACAATTTCTTTCCCATTTTAAGTTTCTTGAAGGCCCCACTTTCAGGGTAGGTTTCTCAGTCTTAAGTGTAGTCTCTGGGACATACTTCTACATTGAAAGAAGGCAGCAGGCATCGTCTAAAAGTTCCAAATGAACTATTATGTTTAGCTTTCTTGTATCTTCTCTCAGCTAAATACCTTGGCAGTTTGGTTACATGTGTCTCGTTCCTCTTTGTGTCCAGCTTTCCTAGCTGCTCATCCTAGCTGTTCTCAGTGAGTAACCTTACTTATCCCTATTCCTGCCTGCAGTAGCTTTCTTAAGACCTACAGACTTTATCAGTAGTTTTTAACTTTTTCCACAGCAAATACTGGTAGAAATATGGAATATATTTCTGTACAAAACAAGAACCCTTAGTGATAGTTTCTTATGAACAAGTGCACCAATGTAAGTACTTTTATAAATGTATATTTGTAATGCTGTAAAGCAAGGATGCTGCTTTCATTCAAGAATACTTGATTTTCATGGGAAATATATTGTTTGTTTGTAGGGTATGGGGTTTTTTTTCCTATAAATTATACCAGGCCTACTTTGCAGCTATACCATCTTGTTTTATACTGTGAGATTAGGCAGAATTTTTGGCTTTACCTTAATTCTGTGTCAATTCAATAGTTTTTAGAATTCTAATTAAAAAAAAAAATGAAGAAAATACTCCAAGACCATCATGAGAAGCTCCTTTAAAATAGAAATTAAATTTATTTATACATGCTTAGTTAACCACAGTTCACTAAAATTGAATTTAATTGCTTTTCTTAGTTACTATGGAAAGAAAAAAGTATTAAAATGTGATCATATGATATCAGTGAATTATGAAGCTATTTTTAAAGTCCAAAACTTCTTTTTTTTTTAATGTTTTTCTGCATTGTTCTTGAAAATACTCAGATGTTCTTGAAAATACTCAGATTGAAATTTTGGCTCTGAATTAGAAAATATGGCTCCCTTTTTTTCTCAGAAATAGATTTTTTTTTTTTTCAAGTACCAAGTATCTGTTTCTGATTTTCTTTCATATTGAGTGATTAGGTAGCTTGGTAACACTAAGTGAGAAATTACTGTAGGCGTTATTAAACAGCATCAAAATTTCCTGAAATGCACTCCTTTTAATCTGCTTTTTTTCTGGCAATATTGCTTATATAATTTGTTCTTTTGTCAGGAATAAGAAACGAATCAGCACAACTTCAGTCACTTTTGAGTGCATTTTAGAACTAAAATGAAAAAGGTATTAATTCAGTTCTTTACCCCTAAATTTGGAACCTCTCCTAAGCCCTGAACATTCTTAACAATAATAAAGATTACATTGCAATAAACAAAAAATAAGTTTACTCTTATCAAAAAAAATGAAAATCTTGAAAATTAGAGTATGCAAACCTGCTATCAGCTTCCTTGATGTTTTAACAAGAAACTTTTCAAAGAATATCTCAGCTCTTGGACTGGCCCAAAGCAGCTCAAGAGGTTGCTTTCATGAAGCTGATATTTATAAAGTTTCTCCTACTGTAGCAGCAGACAGCAGATAAGCAATTGAGTAGGTCTGATAATAAAGCTGTATGCTGTGGCAATTCAGGTCCTGCTTCGGTGATAAAGTGCAAATAGATTAGAACTGTGAGGTCCTAGATTAGTGCGTAAGGAAAGCTTGCCAATGCAAATAAGACTGAAACAAGAACACATTGTTGGGATTTCTGCAAGTTAGCTGTTAATCAAGTAAAACATGGTATATTAGGGCCTTTTAACACGTTTTTGACATTTAGCCTTATGCAGCTGACAGATAAATTAGTCGTCTTTTGTGATTGACTGAGAAAAAATTTATACTGTTCATTAATAAGATGAAATAGTGTTATGTTTAATTTGTTATAGAAAGAAAAAAAAATCATCCACGTAAATAAATCTTCCAAGAAGGAATTGGTATAAAACTGAGCCTGAATATAACTAAGAGGATTCTGAATGGTTATTAAACTATTCTGTGTCACGGAGGCTGGTATTTCAACATTAATATGCAAGGAATTAAGAATTTATGTTATTTGTTACTAGGAATAAACTTGAAGTTATTTAGTATCCCATATCCCTTTCTTGCACAATCTATATGGCAAAAGCCAGCTGATATGATAGTTCGTTTGTTTGTTTTTAATTTTCTGGTTTGTCATTTGTGTAATACTTAACAACATTGCTGCTGACGGACCTTCATTCTGTATGAACACATTTCTACCTGAAATCCCGCCAGGTATGACCTGAAATCCTGCCAGGTATGAGTCAAAGGGAGTTTTTGCCAGGAGTCGTGTACATCTGCCATGCCAGGGGTCTCAGTGCATAGACAGTTAATACTGTCTTGGAAACAGGTTTAATTACACATAGCCTGCTACTTTTAGTTTTGGCCGTATCTTTTTGACTGTATGCTAAGTGGAATGTAGTGTCATCAACGTGTATTTCTTTCTGAATGAAGTAAGTAGGGATTTGAGTTTTATGTGAGTAGTCAACACTGTTTTCTGTGAAGATTCTTATGGAAATGCTAATTTGGTAATATGTATGTTCAGTTAGCTGGATCGTGAAAGGGAGTCCATGATGTCAGGGGAACGCCAGGTGCAAAATGGAAGTAGCGAGTAGCAGTATGAGCTTCCAGCCCGTTGAAAAGATTTTCCTTAAGAGCCAAGTAGCAAATAATAACTATAACAATATTCTTATTACAAGATATTCTGTGTAGTGATCATTATTTCTCAGTGTCTAAAAGATTCAAAATACATTTATTTACAAACTTAAATATAACTACCTAATTGGTAAAGTTCTTTATCTAATTGTTTAAAACCTTCTAATAATACTTAATATTAATTTTGCTAATACATATAATTACATTATAAAATACACGTGATGCATTTTTTAAAACATTTTTACTATTGGTGAATTGTTACAGCTAGAAGCCAATATTATATAACTGGAAGACAAAAAAATAATTTATCAGAGGAACATAAATGTTTGAAACTGCTCTGTTAGGTATATATTTGAAATATATCATGTTTTTCACTTAGGCCTGGTTTCACATCCGATAATAGACTAGTATATAGCAAGTGCCTATGAAGGCTAATACCCCACATCTGCTTTTGATACTTGATCTTAACAGCTCATGTTACATAATAAAATATGTTGCATCATAGCTTATGTTTGCTATATAAACATAATGCAAAAGTGAATTGTAAAATATTTAAAAACAAGGAGATATAAAAAAATATTTAAATTAAAATTCTAATATGTTGAATTGCACTTAGACTGGGTTCTACAGTTGGCTCTCCAGTAAGCAGCCACAAATATTAGAGACACTCCAAATAACTAAAGATCAATATGAGAAGCTGATTTTTTCCATTTCTTGAATTGCCATTTAAATATTTTCAGGGAAATGCATAACCAATTAACGTAAAATTGATTTAAGGGTAGCCAAGTTTTAAATCAGTAATTTAAAATAAAAAAAATATTTATTCAGTTCATACAGAAACTGGTTATTAGTTTTAAACTTTATACATGCAGATAATACGGCTTTTAATGATAGGAGAGTGAATAAATGGAACATCTTCAACAGAGGCTTAGTGAAAGGCAGATGTATTGAAGCTGAAGATACAAGGGGACGCTTATGGAAAACTTCCCAGTCTTCTGAAACCACTGTGTGTTCCATGTGCTACTAACTAGTTTCTTTGCTATGTTGTATGAAAGGAGGAACAGACAATGGGCAGAGGCAATGGAGAGTTGTCAGCAGAGTTGCTGGCATGGTCAGTGTTACAAAGGGATGAACTGTGAAAATGGGGAGAGAGGCTGAGCAGAAGAGAAACCACCAGTGTTTGAGGTACAGAGTCTAGAAAATGTCTCTGCCTGTTCCACAGAACCAATGAGACTGGAAAAGACCTCTGGAGATTATCTAGTTCAACCCAGCTGCTCAAAGCAGAGTCAGCTAAAGCAATTGGCTCAGGATCTTGTCCAGCTGGGTTTTGGATATCTCCAAGGTTGGAGACTGCCAGGATGAAAATCACAGCCCTGAGTTTAGGCTCTTTTTTATGCATATAAGTGTTGACAGTTGGCTTTTCGCAAAATATGCCTTGAGCTTTAAAAAGCACAGAAGCAATCTTCAGAAGATCCTCTAGGGCTTGGAGGAACATCATACCTAGTGTATGGAGAAAATGAATGAATAACCAGGGTTGTCTGAACAATATATGCTTTTAAAAAGTTGTAACTTAAGCTAACTTTGATAATGAATTAACTTTTTACTTTTGCTATAATGACTACATTTATTACAAATTAGAATGGGGTGTACAGCTGCTGAAATGTTGCTTGCATTGTAGTGGTTGTTGAGATGTGATAACCACAGCTGAGAATATATTGCTATAGGCAAAGGTAAACTTTATGTGTATGCGTAGTGTATATATATATATATATATATATGTGTGTGTGTGTGTGTATAGATCTATGTATCTCCAGTGTGTGTGTTATGGCAGTATAAAGAATCATGGACAGAGGGAATTAGCATGAGATTTTTCTCTCTTTCTAATAATATCAGGCTTCCATCAGTCTTGTCCAGTTCTATGAAATAGTGTTTTAAGTATTGATCCCACTCTTAAACTACTTGGAGATTTCAAGCATAAGTACAAAAGGACTTGAATAGGATCCGTGAGTATGCTGATGGTTCTACCGCAGCTGCGCCACCAGTAGTGTAGAACTTCATCAGTTAGGATGTAGTTTTGTCCTATGTAGGTTTAACTTTCCTAAATGTTGTTGCTTCCACTGCCCCCCCACTACCACTTCCAAAATGATACTAGTAGTTCCCTTTATACTCTGCTTAAATTGACCTATTCCTAATTCAAATGCAATTCTAGTGGTTATTTTAATTTACCCTAAATATTTCTCTCTCATTATTAGTTGCATTGGTAGAATTTGGTGATTTTTAAGAATGTAACCAAAGCTAATAAAACCATACTACTGCATCTGCTTTTTACATTTTGCCCTTTGAATTACTCACCCAGTCCTTAACTGGTGATTTTCAATCATTGTTAAATTGTAACTGGAAGTCATCAGAACATATTAAAATGTGCTTGAATTTAAATGTCTGTAGAGTTACTGTTAATTTGATGACAAAAAATCTTCCTTTAGATATCGCAAGTTGTATCGGGGTACTTGTTCTGTGTCTTGGACAACTATTTTTTTTGTCCTCTCAAAATATCATACATGTAAACTGTTAAGTTACTGGTAATTAGCAAATGATTGATTTCTCATTAGATTTGGAACCGCGAAAACTTCTTGAAACTACTATAGAGGCTGCTAGCATTCAAAAAACATAGCCAAATTCAAGCTGAGTAAACTAGCCATGGCCTCTCTGTTTTGAACTTTTATTCAAGATTTCAATCACTTATGAATACAGGAAATACATTATTGAGATTAATAACTTTCCATATGTATCATAAGACTAAACTTATTCATATCAGTATAGATATTTAATGAAGTTTCTGTATTATGTTACTCTTATCAAGCATTTAAAACCTTGATCTGATGCTTTTGAAATCGGGAGAAATCTTGCATTGACGTTAATACCTTTAACTCAATCATCCTCTGCTTCTGAAGGTTGATTTTTCAAAGTGTTACTTAACATAAAGAAATTTTATTCTGCCTTTTCTTAAAATTATTCCCAACTTTTCCATTTTGCAATTCTTTCACTTGTTAGGAAAGAATTATAGAGCGTTTGAAGGAGCAAAGGGAGCGAGATGACAGAGAAAGACTTGAAGAAATTGAATCTTATAAAAAAGAAAACAAAGACCTGAAGGAGAAAGTTAATGCTTTACAAGCTGAACTGACAGAAAAAGAGGTCAGTCTTTTCAGTAAAATCTATATTCTTCTATCTATGTCATTATGATGAAAGAAAGTGCATTAAGATTACTCTTGAATCATTTTAAGTACTGAAATTCTGCCACTTCAGTGGTCAGCTTCTGAACTGCTATTTTCTTAAGCATTCTTCATAATCTGCACTTTGGTACATAAAATACTGTTTCAGTTTTTGCATAGTTGTGTGTTATCTCTATTTTTTTTTCTTTACATAAGCCTCTAGGAGGCTCAAATATTCCATTGTTGCTCCTGTTTTTGTTTGTCAGTTAGAGCAATAGACCTCAAAGTAATTGTACCTCCAGAATATAATGTCAAATTGTCTGTATTATGAATGTTTCTATGTTTCACTTCATGCCAGCTCCTGTGGTTCCAATTGGTTGTATTCTCAAAACAATGTCATTTGCTATCAATATTTATCTTTGTGTCAACTCATTTTGGGGAAGGGGAGGGGGAACAAGATCCAAGTGATTACTACGTTGGCAATAAGTTAGTGTCCTGGTGACTAGGAATTAACTTTTTACTCTTGGTCATTTTTCAGTCTAGTTTAATCGATCTCAAAGAACATGCATCTTCATTGGCATCAGCAGGGCTGAAAAGAGACTCCAAACTTAAGTCTTTAGAAATAGCCATAGAACAAAAGAAAGAAGAGTGTAGTAAGTTGGAAGCACAGTTGAAAAAGGTAAGTTCCATCTTAAAACAAACAACAACAATCAGAAAAACAAAAATCAACATCCCACACCCTAATTTTGAAAAGATGAGCTTATTTACTCTTCTGGAGTAAATTTACAGTCTACCCATGTTAGGCTGTTTGCTGATGCTTGCATCAAATAATGCTAATTTTTTCTTAAGAGGCTTGTACCAAAGCCACTAGTGAGCCTCAGGAATTATCTAGAATACCTTTATGAGGGAATCCTGAGAAGCTGCTACACATAGATGAACTGGGAGCAGGATACTGGAGGGGGAAAGCAGAAGGGCAGAAAAAAATTATCAAACCAGCAACTTGTATGTATATGAATTTATACCGCTATTAGAAGCAGACTGAAATGTTTGTAGCATGGGGAAAAATTAAGACTCGACCAAGAAATGCTGTACTTCCTAATAAAAAAAATTCCAAAGTGGAAACTCTATCTAGGGTGGGGTTTTTGGCATTTTTTGGCTGTGTTGGTGAACACGTGATAATTAAGCAAAATAATGCTAGCAATTCAGTATTTCTATTTAGCAAGTAGTGAAAGCAAGCATTTAAAGGAAAACATACAATTCCTATATTTTATAACACGGTTTTATTTAAATTTATGCATTAAAATAGTTTTTGCTTAAGTGATTTGCAAGTTTGTTGATGCTTTTTCTACCATACATTGTTTCTTTGACCTTTTTCTGTGTCATTTGGTAATGTCCGCTCTCATTGTTTGAACACCAATCTCATGACATATTTGATGGATTTAGGCATTATGTTTGCCTTCTGCAATTCATGACTAAGTGTCTGTCAAACATTAAATTTTTATATTGATACCTAATGTTTCATTTTATAGAAAAGAATATTTATTTGTTTTATGAATATTACCACCGTTAGGATAATATTCTGATACTCTTTTCACCCAGGTTGAGTAGTGTCCTGCTCTGTGTTTAAGCAGTGTTTCAGTAGCCTTACCTGTGAAGAAGGTATTGCAAAGTTTAAAGGATACCAGAGTGTAAATCTTATACTTCTGTTATTTTTTTAATGCAGAACAAACATGTGCAATTAGGTGCTTCTGTTACTTGTTTAGTTGCAGAGAGGAAGGAAGGGAACCTTTTTCAATAAACATAGACAAAAGCTTTCAATGGAAACACTAATTTAAACATTTGATAGCTTATAAATGCCACTGATGTCAGAATGAAAATATCCAAGGAAGCTATTTCTCTGGAAGTCCTTTATTTTGTTTTCTTTTGTTAGAAAATACGTTTGTTTACTTTGCACCTCACTACAAAATACACATTGTTACAATCTGAAATACTTTATTTTCTTCATTTAAAAAACAGTTAAAAGAACCCCTAAAAGCACAGATCACTTAAAAAAAAATAATCAAAATCCTCTTGAAGAACTTGAAATCCTAAGTCGATCTTTTACGACTGTACATATAAACACATCATACAGTCATGGAAAAATAAGCACTTACAAAAGTCAGAGAGTGTCTGGGACGTCTTTCATATAAAAAGGGAATATGTTCCCTGTGTATAAATACAAAGGATTATTAAATGAAGGTTGAAAACATAATAGTTTTATTATATAATAAATGCGGCATAAAGCCCCAGTGGAAATTCACCCAACATTTGTAGGAGACCAGGTATTTCCACAATAAAATGCAGTTACAACCTTCATTGTGGGCATGTTTAGTTGAACAGAAACAGTGACTGTTAATGATAGTAGACTCCAAACAGTAATTTTCAATTCACATTTTCTCTAATAAAATACTTTATGTTCAAACCTGTAAATATCCTGTGTTAAAAGTAATTGGTCCCCAGAAATCTACTATCACCATGTTTTCACTCCTTAGGAAACTAACTGAAACAGAAATCTGGGTTATTCTTGCATATGTCTGAGTTAGAGTAGGAGAACATCAACATAGTTCAGAGTAAATTAACCTGCATGTCCCATAAGTGTGCTTATGAATGAACATTAACTGCTACGGAAGCTAGAAGGGAATGGGCACAGTTTATATCTGTTTCTTAAAAGTGACTCCAAAGGGCTATCTGTTATTCTGAGAAATTTGAATGCAGCTTACACATTACTCCTCTCTAAAAATATCACTTTGCATTATGATATTGTACACGCATCATCATTTAATTTTGATTTATATGTTTTAACAAAATATGCTAATTAATATGAAGACTGTATTCTGTGCACATTTGCCAGGAGTTAGTTTCCCATGAACACCAATAGTAGTAAGTACTGTGTCTGAAAGAAAACATGTAGAAGGGGCAAGTCCAAGCAAAATCTGTAAATTTAAAAAAAAAAAAAAAAGTTTTTCTTCCCTTATTTCCTCTCCTTCCTGTTTTTGGAGAGAATAAGATTCATTTATTAATAGTAAAGATGGTTTTGATTGGGTCTAATTAAATCCAAATATTTTTCAGTATTAGATAACTGGTTTATTGGTATTTCAGCGGGAGAAAACACGCTGATTCTAAACCCACTGTTTTATAGAGTAGACACATTTAAAAAAGTAATAAATAGGATATTCGTAAAGAATAATTATTCATGTGACTGTGCTATATTTTGGGAAACAAAATAATGTTTAAAACCATAGACGTGCTTATTAAACTTTTTGTGACAGTTATGGATTGAATTTCATAAAATTAAAAAAAATTAATAAGACCCAGAAGAATGCTCAATACTTTTTTTGCCAAAATTCCACACTTTTTGTTGACTTGCTTTGTATTCCTACTAGTGAAAGAACAACAGGAATTACCTAATAGGTAGCTAAGTGCTTTATATATATGTGTGTGTGTGTGTGTGTGTATATATATAAAAATCCTATTATCTACTCTAGAATTTCCTCCTTTTGTTGTTTTTCATTATCTTAAATTTACTTGCTTACTGACATATTTGCAGTTGCCTAAGAACTTTTTGCCAAGCTGTACAGTTCGAAAGTCATTCTGCATAGAAAATTCAGTCTTGTGTTAAACAAAAGGAAAGTAATAAATTTAATGATACAATTTAATTAATCTTTTATTATTACCATCTTTGAAGCTTTGGTGATAAATTGCAGCCTCAGCCAAAAGCACTTCTTGTGATTCATTGCTTGAGACCAGCACTTAATGTATCATCAAAAGTGGACACCTTTCTTTATTTCATGGGTTATTTAACTTGAGAAAGGGAAAGTAACACAAACCTTAAATTTCTTACTCCAGCTATTCTTTTTTAGGAGCCAAAGTCAACATTTATGTTTCCCCAGTGCCTCTCACTTTCACCAAGGAATGTTTAGAATCTTAAATTTCTACTTTCTTATGACAAGTTCTTCTGTGCAAATGCACTGGTTTTGTTGAGCTAATGCTGTTTTCCTGGATCTTTCCTTCTTTTCCTGCCTATGCTTCACTCCCTTCCAACTTTGCAATGTAGCAAGCTGAACAGTTGTTCAATCAGATGTACAATCCAGTAAGTTCTTTTTTAAAATGCCCGCTGTAACATATGAAAGCATGAGGATCCGTTACCTTCCCGTGTTGTGCTCTTCCTCCATGGAGCTTTGTAGAATACCTCTGATGCTCGCTATGCTATACTCATTATATCCAAATAAATGAACTTTGTGGACTTCAAGGCCATTTTAAGAATATGAAATGTATTAAATAGGTACATGCAGTACTTCTGAGAAAACAAACATCCTAGCCTTTAGGTCCTCAACTTCTTCATTAGAAAAAGCATGCAGATGATTTTGGGCTTAGTTTGTTTGTTTTTTTTTTTTTTTTGCTTTGCTTTTTAATTACTTCTTCTGCAGTACTTTATTTGATCCTTCAAACTTAAATAACTTCTAATTTATTCAGTTTATCTTAAGTAGCTGAGTTGATCATGTGAATAATAATATCTAGGAAGTAACTGGTACTATTGTCAAAAGTCTGTACCATTAAAATATTTCAGATCAGTTTTACTCATAAAAGACTGTATACATTCGGCATGTATATGTTAAGAATATGGAAACATTGTATTTAATCAAAGAAAATGCTGAAATATCAAATGATGAAAGCAAAGGGCAGCATTTGAAAAGGCCAAGCAGTATTATTTTGGCTTGTTTAGCATTGTCATTCTTGCCAATGTCTGCTTAAATTGCACAACATCTACCCTTTTGACTTGACTGTGTTCCTTTTTCAGTTTGAGGAAGAGCTGTAACAAACATTCTCTCTGCAGAGAACAGTTTTCATTTTTTGGCTGAGACTGTTACATTTAATGTGCTGTGAGCATCACAGGACAGAAAAAATGATGTAACTGTAATAGCAATTTACAAGCTATAGTTTACATAGTAATCATAGTTGAAATTACCATGTAATTGGGATAGTGTATATAGGACTGGGTTTAAGTAATGGGATACTATGCATTAGGGAAGGTATTGCCTTCACTGAAGTCAATGGAGTTTTGCCATTAATGTCAGTGGACCAGGATTCCAGCTTTGGAGTCTATTATTGCTAAGTTTTGTAGCTTCTAACCATGTAATGGATATGTCATAATTACATATGGAAAAAGAGAGTCCCACAGAATGTGCTGTATTTACTCTTTAAGTTAATGGCTAACTGTTTTTAGAATCCAGTCATAAACTGATTGTAAGTAACATAAGGTCCGACATTATCACCTTTACCATCCAGCACACTGCTGGCCAAAGAGCTTTTCCCTTTGAATGATAAAACCCTTTTTTCTGTATCATCTTGGATCACATTTGTGGTAGTTATGTTTATATTCATATCATTTGCACTGTACATGTCTCTTCAGACTGGGGTCTTTTTTGTGTTAGCTTTTCTCTTGATTTTCGTGAATGCTTTCCAGTCATTATTTCAGTATTAGTTATTCTGCTGTATGGAATTTGTTTGTTACTACCTAGTCTATTTGTCTGTGGTATTCAAAAGTCAGTCCTTTTTTAACTTTTTCTACCTTTACGTGCTTAATTTTCGAAAGGACAGCCTGTCGGCAGTTCCAAAACAATAGGTTCAAGATTCTTTGGCACCAGGCAGCACTCATAGCATATCCATGAATCCATGAGACAGGTTTTCTTAAATAAACTTTTCTTGCTCATCTTCTTTCTTCTCCTATTTTTCTGTATATCAGTCTACTTTTAACAACATAATAATGATCCTCTTCTCCCCCAAAACCACCTAAGGTCTTAAAATGAAATCATGATTTGATTGAAGTCAATGGCAACATATTCTTTGAATTCCACAAGGCCAAGTTTTCACCTCTGTTCTTTGAGATGGCATAATAGCAGTTACCTGAAACATTTTATTTTGTACTGAAATCATTATGATGCTTTACTTAATAGAATGTTTTCTTACTTTTTTTTTTGTTTGAGAATAATAGTGTTATAAAAAAACAGTTGGCAATCTAATCTTAAAATACTGAAGTTTTAATGCTCTTTTGTTTACATGTGTCAGAGAAATAACAGTCTCTGAGTAGGCCTCTTGTAGCCCGCACAGTAATACAGCATTTTTTGTTGGAAGGGTTTTTTTCTACTGTGTCACATAGATATCAACTCCAAGACTTTCATTTATTGCTGAATCTAATGTTTTTAAAACACAGCAGTGGATAGAAGTGTTTCATTCTTATACAAGTTTGGGTACCAAAGTGGAGATGATACAGAAGGGGTGCAAATCCTGCATACTCTGTAATGAATGATTTCACAATGTGTTCGCTTGTGTGAATACGATGTGAACAGAATTGGGCATGCATTTCTTCATGTTTTGAAAGGTGAAATTTTTAAAATACCCAGTGAATTGATTATAAGAAGTTACATGATTGTTTTTGTCCTGTAATGAAAATATAATGAGGTACACAGTTTGGAGTTCTGGTGAGCACTTTTTGACTGGTAATGACTTAATTTTCCAAATGCTCCATGAGAGCAATGTCAGCTGAAAATTTAAAGTACTTGCAGAATCCACTCTAAATTGCTTAGAGTAGTCCCTGAAGTTAAATAAAAAAACCTTGAATTTTAAAGAGATGACAAAAATATTAAGGTGACAGCATTTTTTTTAGTTTATGATTGAAAGTAATAAATTTGAAGGATCTTACAAAGTAATTTCTTGCATGTAAATTCTGCTGTTCCATTTATTTTTTTATGAAGTACTCAGCTGATTTCTATGTATGTTTGTGTCTGAAGCTTTAAAAACTAAGTACTGTATCTATCCATCCATTTCTGTTATGCAGAATAATGCATGCATGACTGTACCGTAAAATTTTAGTAGACTAAATAATTCCTGTTGCATGTCTGTACCACACTGTTATGGTGTTCCTGTAGGAAATTTGTGGTTTACATAAGGAAATGTTACTTTTACTTCTAAAGTATTTGTAGTACTTATTAAGCAAATATCTGAACAGATACATAATTACTGTATGAATTAGAGAAATTCTAATAGTAGCGATGTGCTCTTTTTATTGAATAGTAAAAAACCCACAAAACAGTAGCAAGATTGAGAGACAAAACATCGTAAACCAAGTGTGCTAGTTTGAAACTAGCCTAATCTGCACACACAAGCATTATCATTTACAGATAACGGATTAAGAGAGCAATTACTTTGCTGCTGAAAGGTATGCACGAACCAGTCACTTTTAGCTGTAAAATCCCCATAAAACCAGAAAATAGATTCTTCCCAAGAAAACAGAGAATTTGGGGAGAAAAAGGGGGACAGAAGTGAAAAAAAGGATGGAAGAAAGGACAACAGTAACAGGTAGACTTTCTGATTCATGGGATAACCATGCAGCTTCTGATTAGAAGTGATCCAAGCCTGTCTTACAGCCTGCAAAAAGCCAAAGAGATCTGCCCCGTCTGGGTGGGAGCAGGGTCAGTATCAGCTGAGCTGCCTTTCATCTCCTTTGGGCCTACTGTTTGACCTCGAAAGCCGAGCTTCATCTGTCAACAAATCACCCCTGATCTGTATATAACAATTAAAAAAAAGTGCCTAGTTCAAATCCAAACACATCTTTCAAAGCCATGAAGTATAGCAAGGCACTTATATGTAATTCTATGCCTTTGTTCTGGGAATGTCAGATGGATTGTGTTTTGCTCTCTTGTATCAGCAGATTTGTTTACAACATGAGGATTCCCTTCAAGGGACTTGCTGCAAGTTAGAGTACTGCCTGCAAAAGCTCTTTTTAAAAAATGTTTTATGTTCATGCTGTCCCTCTTTAACAAACTTTCCTTTCCTCCTTCTTTAAGGCAATGTCCTGGTAGAAATCTGATTCTTGCCAATTGTCAAAAAGTATTCTGTAAGAAGCGCTTGTAAAAGTAGAGGCAACCAACTTGGTGGTTTGCAATGCTGGGATCTTTTTGTTTGTTTGTTTGGCTTTTATAAAAGATTATTCTAATCTTAAACTTGTCTTTGAACTGAATGGTTATACTGATTTATACGTGATATTATGGATATCTGTGCTGCACCTCCAAACCCTGTATTGGTTGAATACTTAATCATATTGGATTTAATCATATCTTATAGGTTTTGCTTTGCATTTAGAATCACAGGGAAATACAGTGACCAAGTTTGTGCTATGAAATTTTCCAAAAACACATCCCACAAATATGGAATGGCATGAGTACCACAGAAAACTCAAGAATTGAAAATACTTTTGCAACTTAACCTTAATTTCCTTAGCATGCTATTGAGCAATGACTATATAGCTAAACTGAAGAATATAATTTATATCAGTTGTTTCAGGTGTTGTTTCAGTTATACGCTGTGCAGTAGGTAATTTGTTCAGTACATTTCTGAGCTGCTGTGTATCAGGAATATTCTATGATAGTTGAGCATTGGGCACCTTTGCATTGGTGACACTGCCATGTTCTTGCCCAATTATGTATTTTCATCATAGAAGGTCCAGTGTGGCAAAGAAAAGCAAAAAAAAAGAGACAGGCTTCTCTGTCTTTTGTGTTGCTTCTTGTCCTGGGTTAAAACTAGGGTAGAGGGACATGGGGGGAAAAAATGTTTGGGCTGAAGCTGAGACGACTTCTATGCTAAAGTGAAGAAAAGACTGGTTGGAAGCAGGAAGGTGGGTGTTCTGCCTATTTTTGAAATGATAGAAGCAAGGCTGGTAAATAACTGAATTATACACTAAAATAAACGGAAGGGAAAGAAAGGTGTCAGGGAGAAATATGAAAGAGTGATAGCCCCTAGAGGGGAACTGTGATATTCTAGATTTACCCTTAGGGGAGGAGGAGAAATCTGAAGAGCAATAGGGAACAACATGCTCTTTGCATAAGTTTCTTAGTATCTTAAAGGTGGGAGTTGGTCTGGTTTTTTGTTTTTTTTTTTTTTTTTCCTAGAGTGAATTTATCTTTACCAACATATAGAATTATTTTTTTTTCTTTGCAAAAGAACACTTAGTGTTCTTTTTGGAGAGATAAAACATTGTCTAATTTCTTAATAGAGCTGATGGAAAATTAAAGCAGTTTGCAGCTGGAAATTGGTACACAGTCTCGCACATAGTTGGCCCTGAGTCTGAGTATTAAGTTTACTTCAAAAACTACAAATCTAGCTGAAAGTAAATTTCTCGACGCAATTAACACCTGCTATAAAATAAATCAAAGTTTATTATTAAAGCAGGAAGATTTATAAGGATGAAAAACAATCATCTCTTGCTAGCATCTCACCCAAACAGTAAAATCAAGGTAGTCTTTGGATCTTACCTTGAAACAAGCTCTGTGTTAGGGAAGTCCTGTATCTGCATATAGAATTCAGGGCTGGAGCCTGTCTTATTATCCTAAACAGAGAGCAAGGTCAGTAAGTTTAGTAGGCTTCTCATGTCATTCCCTTGGCTTATTTTGGTAACCAAATATATCTTTCAGATAGAAATCTCACAGTACGATAAATAACACGTAAAATCTATCTTTTTTTCTTATTATCCTCATGCTTAAATGATATGTTACATGCAACCCCCCTAGGTTTCTTCCCTAGTAATTTCAATTTTTTAATTGTTGTATTCATACTAAACCCAGACTTGTTCTTTATTTATAAAGAAAATTTTAACCATTGCAAAGAATATGAACCTTCTAGTATCTGTAGTCTGTATTAACTCTTTCCAAAACACGCATGTTTCATTTTGATCTGCATTTCTTTCATTGCTTGCTTGCATTGTCTATTCCCTGAAATTAAGTTAAGTAAGTCCATGTCTTCTCTGCATAATAAAATAGTTGGAGGACCTTCAGTTTTAAATATCCTGAATTTCTGTATGTTAAGAGAATGTTATCTGAATTTTCTATGTTTGATGTGCACTGCCTTAAACTACTTGTTTTTTCCTTGCCTGCTCTTTCAAGATGCCAATTAGGAATAATGGGAAGCAAGGGGTAGGCTAAGCATTGCAGTGCATTGTTGTTTCCATCTGTCTGTGATTATTCCAGCCAAGAGTTTAAAGCACTTGATGCCAGATCATGCTCCCATTGAAGTTAATTGGGTTTTTGCCATTAGGTTTGATGGGAGTAAGATTGGGCTCTGCACTGTTGTTGTATTCATTGCGTTCTTTCTTGTCTGTGAAACTGCCACCCATCCATGCATGTGTTTGCCAGGTTTGTGCCGTTTTCGCCAATGGGCTTGTTCTTCTGATGTTTCAGGTTAAGTATTGATGAGAAGAGAAAAAGGACTATTGGGTAAAATGTCTGCTGAAAGCAACTTTTTAGTTTATGGGTTTGTCTTTTAAAAACAGCACTGCATGAAAACAAATTTTTCCTTTTAAATCCTTCATATCAAACTGCATTTGAAGCATCTAGTGATACAATGTGCAATATGTACGTATGTATCTCTGTATACGCACACATGGACAAAGTGTGTGTATATATATAGGCAAAAGAGAGAGAATATTATTTATTAAGAAATTGCCTAGATATTTGAAAAACTTTAAAAGCTTAATGTGAATTAAATGAATTACAAGGTGATTTTTTTTAATTTAAAAAAAATCCCTAAAATATGGTCACTTTAATATGTAAAAAAACCTTAATAAATCCCCTCCTCCTTCGAGATGATGGCATTTGACTATCATTTTAGACTGTGAAGATATTTTCATTCCTTTTTATAACACTTCTTTAGAAAAATTGTCATCAGACAGAAATACCCATAATCCTTTTTAATGAAAATTTGAACTCCAAGATGGAAGTAGGAAAGCTCTTAAAGCTATATAAATTATTGTCATCCTTATTTTTTTTTTTTAAATATTGATTCTGAAGGCTCATGAGGCTGAAGAGGAGGCACGGATGAATCCAGAATTTGCAGACAGAATGAAACAGCTTGACAAAGAGGCATCGTACTATAGAGAAGAATGTGGCAAAGCTCAGGCTGAGGTTGACAGACTTCTAGAAATACTCAAGGAAGTAGAGAATGAGAAGAATGACAAAGATAAGAAAATTGCTGAGTTAGAAAGGTAATTCTTGTATTCTTTGTCTTGCATTGAGTGGCATTTTTATTTACTTGATCTTCATTGCAGAGCAGAGAAGTTAAGCACAGAATATGTTTTTTAACAGAATATTTGTTATGTCTTGTAAAATCGAATCAGAAATGAAAAAAAAAATGGCTACTTGAGAACTGCATCTCCTGTCTGCTGACTTTGGAACAATTTAAGGTTTCCACTTTTTTAGTATTCTGCATAAAAGGAACGCGTATAGGAAAAGTCATGTGCAATTTACAGTGACAACAACCCTCCCAGAAAACCTTATTGGGGAGCAAGTCTTTCTAGTAACTGGTAAATCAAAACTGTCCCTGCACGGTTCTTCAGTGTGAACAGCATCACTAGTTCTCAGAGGTCCTGAAAAGTGTTGGTAAGTATTTCTAACCACTCATGACTATTTAATAATAGTTGTAACTATTTCCCAGTGTTTCTGTAGTCTTTGTCTGCTTCAAATGAATCTTTTCTGACATTGATCTGGCAGTGTTTATCTTATTTCTGGGAAGGTAGTACAGTCTTTCCTTAATGGAGACAGGAGGGTTTTGGGATCCATTTGTCTCATGCTCTTCGTAATGAAATTATTCTTGATACCTTCTCCCATTTGGTATACTGCAATTTATTTGATTGATAAGCAATTTATGTGTGTCTGATTTCTTTGTTCCGTTGCTGTACTTAGGCACTCTTAATGAAAGAATGCATGTTGTATTTTCAAATATTTTATACAGTTGTTTTCCAGTGATCACGTCAGAAGGAAAGTGCTTCATGGTTTCAAAGAGAAGTTTAAGGGGTCTCATTGTTATGATTATTGCTATCGTTCCAGTCAAGACATAGCACTGCTCTGTCCCATTAGGGAGAATTATCATGAAAGAGGGGAAGATCTGCTGGAAATGTTGGCTACCTTAGGGGGAGGAAAACAGCCAACTTGGAAAGAAAGATGAGTAGAGCATCTTTTACTGATGATAACTTACCAGCCTTCACACTTACCTGTTGCCAAAACTTATCTTTCTCTGCAGACACTTGGCAAAGGTTTAATAATGATAATAATGAATGGTATATAGTTATCAATCAAAGTGTGGCGAGACCTGAGACCTCAAGTTTAAAGTGAAAGAAGAAGATTTGTACTTGAAATAAAACTGAGCGTTTACACAAGGACAATTTAATTAGTAGTTACCTCTCTTACCACATCAGAAGTTTAGAATACTCTAGTGTTTGCACCGATTTTAATGTGTAAAGCAGATACCAGAGAACGCTACTAATGAAGAGTGGTCACTTTGTGCACCATGATTGTGAGTTCTGCCTAAACTTTCCAAAGTCGTAAAGCAGTGTATTGGAAAAAGAGAACATGATTAGTGAATCTGTGTGGTCAAGAAAGTGCTGCCTATTCCACCCATTGGTGCATGTACTGTAGGGGCAATTATAGACCAAGGCTTGTAACATTGTGACTGCAGGTGTGACCAAGCACCTGATGGAAACTGACTGTATAGTTTTTACAAAAACAGTAACTCATATCCTCATTGGGCTGTAAAACCTACTGAATTATTGTGTGACACTAGACGCAATAATAGACATGCTAAACTTTGTTCAAGAGGGTAATCTTAAGAGATTTAAGTAGCAATCATGTACCCTGTAGTGGGTTATGTAATGGACAGAATTTTCTATTTTTGTATTATTTTTTTTGAAAATTCAATGCACTTTTACCAGTGAAATTCTGGGACACCAGTTTCCAGTCTGTTATTGTTGATCCTGAAATAACTTTTCAGAAAAACAATTTGGAGCCACTGAGTAAGCATGTATTTTTTGAATGGGATATACTGTACTTTGAATGTGATGAAGTAGTTAGGCTTTGCTATGAACCTGTAAGTGTTTCTCTGATGCTTACAATAAAATATCTGTGGCATGACCTGCTAAGGGCAGTAGTATGTTGTGATTTTTGGGAATCATCATGCTCTAAGATTTGTTTGTGAATTCTATTAATTTAAATGCAGTTTCTCACTTGATTTAAGTTATGTACAGCATTCAAGATTAATTCCAAATTCCTATACACACAGTATATATAAGTTAATTGCTGTAAATTAGGTAAAAAGGGATTTACATAAAAATTATCTAGTATTAATTTAATCAACAGAAGTTACTGCCTGTAGTTGGTAATGGAGTCTTAAAGCTACTTTCCACCATGTGTGTAAGCACAAGCACAAATTTGTAGATTAGTACAGTAAGGCTAGCAATCTGCCAAAAATAGAAAGGTGTAAGAGGGAAATATTTTTAGGGTATCTAACTCTTCTTACTAATCAGGGTCACCTTCAGTTGCTCTAAAAATTTAATTTCTTTTCTCTTGCTCTTCCTTATTTTCTAAAAATGTTGGCCTAAAGATCTAAATCTGTATATAACTGTGCCACCTGTCGGTGTCCCTAGAGAGGGAACTTTGATGTTGAAATTCCCCTTTCTAGGGGGTTAGGTAGAGTGTAAATTGCTGTAACATTTTATGAAGTGCTACTACTTTTTCTGCTTGTAATGACTACTTGATTGGCTCATTATTGAAGGGAAGAGGTGGAGCCAAAGCTCAGTTTACCCACTTTATGGGAATAAAGCATTGTGAAAATGACTGCAACTTTAACAGAAACATATTTGAAAATGCTCTTTCCTTCTTGTCCTGCTGTTTTGTAATTCATATAATGTGCTCTAGGTTGCTATTTTCTCTCCTTACTTTTTCTCTCTCTTTTTTTTTTTCTTTGTCAGAAATAGCATATCTTCAACATTCCCCCTAACTTCAGATGCAACGGCATCTCTGGGGTTTTGTAGGAAAATGAATGCTCTTTTGAAATGTATTTGTTGGTTAATAGCTTGCTGGGATCCATGTTCACTGCTCTGCCAACATCGTCACATTGCAAGATAATTGCAACAACATAAATTCTCAAAATTTATAAACAGAAATTTCTAAGAGAGTTATAATCTAGACTATTGCAAGCTATGGTATCTTCTCAATGCTTATTATATTTGCATATAAATTCATCAGCATAATGAGGTGTACCTGTATAAATCAGTTTGAAAAGTAAAAATGTTTGTAATGAAGTTATTTACAAATTCAAACAAGAATTAAAACAAGATGATGAATACTAATGTTCTGCTATTGTCAGAAAGTGTTGACACAGAAGCGTCAAATACTCAAGGGTAGAAATATCTGCTTCAAGTTATGGGCAATTAAACTTATAAGTGTATGCTATTTGACAGATGAACATTATTAATAATCCTGAAGAAGATTTCGTATGAATGCTAATTTTTTTTGGCTTTATTGTGATTTTCTTGCCTTGGAAACTATCACACTTCTGAGTTGCATTACTTAAGATTCATGATTCAGGCTATTCCTCATATATAAAAACATGTTGGTCTGTTTCTTAAATTATTCCATATATATTAGCTTTGTATTTTATGACTTCTTATTACTACATAGGAGAACCAATTCATCCTCCTATACTAAAGCTGTTTGATAACTTTTACTCAGTCTTTCATGATTTATCTGTTTATAATGAGAACAGGTTAAAGATAAATGCAATATATCCCAGCATAATGCATTTTCAGTAAACTTAGCTTGACGGTTTTCTCTGGAAACATAGTGTGGGGTTTTTTTGTTTGTGTTTGGTTGTTTTGGTTTGTTTTTTTCTTAATGTAAATGAAACTGGGTAAGGCAGGATCAGCTTAAATTTTAATGTGAAGGGCCTAGCCAAAGAGGGTTAACTGCAGCTGAAATGGAGCTGTCAGTGTGGAAGGAGTATATTGTTTAATGCTTTTATTAATGGCATTAGAATGAAAAGTATATTTATGAAATATGCTAGGGAGTTTGAATCATGAAATTAAGTGAAATACAATAGTACAAAATGCATGAATGTGAAGTTAGGACCAGTAAGACTGCCTGCTGTAAGCTCCTTGATACAGTTTAGGAAGAGAAAGATTGGGTGAATTTGCTTATAGCAGTGTCATTATGAGCCATCTCAGTAATGAAGCAGACATCTAAATAATGAGGTGTGAATCCTCATATGTCAGAATAAATGGCTGCAGTAAGGATAGGAAGATATTAATGTCATCGAACACTAGCAAGACTCCATGTGGAACACTGCTGTATAGTTCTCATCAGTCATATTCGAGAAGGTTGAATTAAAACTGGAAGCAGGTGCAGAGAGGGCTGGTAGGATAATTAAAGGAATGGAGTGCTCATGCCACAGGAGGAGTCTAAACAACAGTGGTTTGTTTCTCTGGCAAAAGAAAGGCTCGGTAGGGATGCTCGTTCTCCATAAATATGTGAAGGGGTAAGCACTGCGGTGAAAGAGTAGTGATTTCAGTAAAAGACTGTTGGCACATAATACAATGGATATAAATTATCCATTAATAAATTTAGACTGAAAAGAGAAAGTAAGTGATGAGAACATAGTGTAGATTGCAAAATGCTGCATCTGCTTTTCTCCAGTGGTACATTAGATGATCGGTCATTTGCTTGATTGAGTGTAGCTTCTCAGCAAAGCTTACAACAGTGTGAAAGTTTGTTTAAAAATACTATACTAGCCATGAGACAAAAAGAGTTTGCTTTTAAACAAGAAATTTGGGGGTTTTGTTATCCACTTCTCATATGCTGTGGTAAGTTTTGGGTAATAACACATGCGCATTTAAGCTCTTGGGGTGTTCAGACTACAATTCATTCTGAGTTGATTTGGATTTGACTTCTGATGAAAATAAGTCCACACAGCACTGACAAATTCATTGCATAAATGATAAAACATCTGCATAAGGAATAATTGCATTCAGAAAAAGTATTTTTGTGGCTTTTAAAAAATTGCCCTTTCATAAGTGAATGAAAAATTGTGTACCAGTGACAGCTTTAAGGATTAGGCTAGCTCGGCGTCAGGCAGGGATATTTTTTCTGTCTTACTTAATTGAAAGGGCATGTTAGGTATTTTGTAGCAAATAAGTTATCAAGCATCGGAGTATTTTCAGTGATGAAGTATTAACTTTATTCTTCAGGCTGAAGAAAAAAATTGCTGTCAGTGTTCGAAGGGGCTATATTTCCGGGGGGCAGCAGGGAGCAAATCTCTGTCTTTGATTATTAGGTACAGTGCTTTGTGAACTTCTAAATGATATCTTTGAACAAGCTGCCAAATTGTTTAGCTCTTCTGGCTTTCATGGGAGGACTTGATGAATGTGGGTCACTAAACCTTTGTAAGTTCAAAAAAAAAGACTTTGTGGTATATGATGAGACATTTGTGTGGCAGTGAGCACTTCCAATATCCACCTAATTTATTTGTTTCATTCAGTGTGTGTATGCATTTGGATGGTTATAAATATGGATAGCTTTCCACAGTCCACAAATGTCAAGATGCCATTTTACTTTAAAATTTCTGGTTTATTCAATACACAGCAAGGATATACTGCTACAGAAATTTTATTTTAGTTCTTGCTTTCCCTTCCCTTTCCTTTTCTTTTTTTCTTTTTTAATAAAATCTGCTGATATAACATTTGCTTGTTATATTTTTAAAGAACTAATGTGTTCCTCCCTTTATTCTCTTTTGATGTCTTCCCCCCTATCTGTTTTTCTCCAAACTGCTGCTTTCATCCCTACGCCAACCAGCTTGACTTCCAGGTCAGTATTTTCTGCTCTCCTACTGAATTGCTCCTTCCACAATGAAGGTTTTCATTGATGCTTCATTTATTTGGCCATTTTGATTCCATATTAATCACTTATGTTTGTCTTTTTTTTGCATTTTGTTTTTATTCTGCTTGTCCCTATGGTGAAGTTTTTGGTCATTCCATTTGTAGATCAGAAACTTTACAGTAAAGTAATGCTTTTGTCAAAAGGCTGTAAGAAAAAAATGTTTATTAACAACATATTCATATGTTGTTTTGTGTGAAGATTTTTTTTCTTTCTTTCTTTAGGGAGTTCAACACTGGGAATAACTTTTAGGTAGACAACCCAACCCAGTGCGTAATGGATTGAACAATAACAATAGTACACAGAGAGAGTTATAGCTAAGATCAGAGACTTATTTTTAATACTTTCCTATCACCCCTTTTACAGTTATTGCAGACATAATAGGATGAGTTTGGAGTGGTCCAGCTTCTGGTTCAGAAACTTTTAGCTGTCGGTGCTGGGAGGTGTATGTATGTGTACATTTTACATGCTGTTTTTGTGTATAGCATCATCTAGTCAGATTCGTCTTCCTCTTCCAGATTTTAGATTAGTTTAGCTAGGATTTGTGCTTGTGCACTGGTTTTGAGTGATCTTATCTTATCAAGTATTATTATATGTCTCATGGTGCTTGTTGAAAGTAAAAATTATTCTAGTCGACATTTTTTTTCTCTTAGTAGGCCTTGATGTTAATTTATCTTTCTCATGCTTATGAATGGCTGTAAAAAGTAAGTTAGCAAAGTCTTAAAATGTCTACCTGGTATTTTAGAAACTAATAACTTTATATGGTTTGGACTAGAGGTTCATCTGCTTCTTCCTTTCCCCATTCATTTCAGAGTGTGGCTTTTTTTTTTTTTTTTTTTCCTTTTTCCTGTGACAGGTATTTAAGACAGTTCTGTACTCTTAAGCTCATCCCTTATTATTCAGTTTCTGAAATTGGTGATTGAAACTTGCACAAACTTTTGTGTCCTGCACTGAAGCAGCTGTGCTTTAGGCAGGAACAGACCTAGTTTTCAATCATTATCAAGGCAGAAAGTGTTTATTTCTTCATAGATCAGTTGGGCAGGAGTATAAAGGAGCGTGTATACTGCAAAGACTTTCCATGTGGCTTTTGGCTACCAGAGTTTTGCCTTTGCAGATATGGTTCCAGGTATCAGGTTGCCATGCAGCACATTTGACTAGAATCATGGCAAATGTCCGATCTGCCTTTATAATGTGTTGAGATCTGCAGTTCTCAGAATTTTTATGTCAACGTGTACTTTTTGCACAGGATTGTTCTCTATTCATATAGAAGCAGAGCTTGCCAGTTTGGTAGAGTTTTGGTATCTTAATCTCAAAAGCAAGCACAGTTCACATTTCCTGGTTCAGACATGTCAGAGAAATTTCTGATGTGGATGCCTTCAGACTGAATGGCCAAAGATGGCTCATTATGAAAAGACTGACAAAACAAGAGTGGGGTTTTTTTTATGTGCTTTAGTGCACATCACTTTCACAAGTTACTTTCCAGCTGGAAAATTTTGTTTCTGAAATGTGAGGCCTATTGATTGCAGTAATGAATCAGATGAACACTTTCTTTTTATTGTCTACCTACCACAAGCACATCTTAATGTGCTTGAATGGGTAGATATTAGGGCTGAATTATAAAAATACTTAATTTATTTTCAGAATAATTCTTTCTTTAAAAAATTAATTAAATGCATTTCCTCTGGAGTTGGCTATGATAAAATTATATGTGACCGCTCTGGCATTTCTTATCAGACATACTCAACATTGATTGAAAATCTCTCCAGCCAGAGGGAGCTTAAAGAAAGGTATTATGCTGTGCGATTTTCATTATGGTTGATTTCACTGGAATTCAGTGGTTGGTATGCAGAAACATTTGTTCAGCAGTTGGAGGTGCAATTTCTGGTATGTTTTATTGACCTAAAAACCAGGTGACCTTGCTGATGCAAACTGTCCTCATAACCCTGCCAACTTCCATCCCTGGACTCCTAGATAAGTTGTAGCCTATGATTAGAGTTTATTGTGGGATTTCAGTGAAGTGTTAAGTTTTCACACCTTGAATCATCATTGAAGTCAAAACTTAATTTAAGAAACAGTTCTATTAATTTCTTTAATTTCTGCTAATCAATATGTCCTTAGCTGACGTTTTAATAATCCATATTTATTTGGGGTTAGAATGACAAGAAAGATGCTGCATCTGTTTTATAATGTGACAGGCTATTGATACTAAAGGCAAACAAGATGATCAAATACATTGGCTTAACCCTTCATCATGTGCATCTACCTTTACAATAAAAACATTCTGAGCACAAGAATCAGTACAGTAACTTTTTATTTTCATTTAGGTTACAGCAGGTTATATACTCCCCAAACTTTTCTGCCTGCAGATAAAGAGGAGGTGGATGTTTTTTCCATGTATGATATACTGACCAGTGCTAGAAATTTTCCCACCGGCCTCTGATATTGGCCTTCCTAATTGTTTCCATGGGAGGCTAGAGCTCAAAGGGATGTGTAAGGCAAGGTTTAATGGAGTTTTAAATTTAACTTACGAGCCTTCCACAGTTTTGTCAAATGTCAGTTTGATGGTTCCAAGGGCAGACTGATATGTTGTTCAACGATAATTTCCCTGGAGAAATTGAGATAGTGTACTAATGAAAACTGAGAGAATCTGTGATATACATTACTCTTCTGAGAGACTGGTTATTCTGAGTGAGAAACATAGCTGTCACATTGGATAACAGGCAAATTGTTGTCATGTCTTTCTGTTTTAGTCTGTTTGCTGCATATACAGAATCAACATTTTAACACTGTGAACTTTTTCACATTTAAACATTTTGAAAGAGATTAAGATTTTAGAAGAGATTATTTAGATGTATCTGATTACATGTGTGGTGTTGAATTTGTGTACGTTTACATTTTGTTTTATTTAAGAAATAGTAATGTTGAAAGTTTATTTCCTTGGAATTCTGCTTTCTTTAAAAAAAAAAAGTAAAATAATATATTACAAAATAAGTAGAAATCATAGTGGTAAAGAATAGAAAGATCCAAAGGGGTCCCTGGGACAGGATAATGCATTGTTACTAATTTTTATCCCGCTCACTCCTGAAGCTGACTGCTCAGTTCTATACTTTGCCCTTTCAGTTTGCTTAAAGGCATGCAAAGGTTAAAATAATAATTTCTGAGACAACTAGAAATGGATTATTTAAACACGGAAGGATATTTTGTAGTTTCCCAGTGATGTGGTTTTTTTGGTTTTGATTTGGAGTGTAAATACTCTGTGGAAGTAAATGGAGATGCAGCATAAACTGGATATGAGGAGAAAAGAGCTCTACATCTCTGAAGGAAAAATGTCCACTTTGGACTGGGTTGGACTTGACACCACAATTCTGTACTGGGGAAGAGAAAACATAAGGAACTGCTGCTCTTTCTGTTTCACGGTTACTCATTTCAAGACCGAGCAATATTTCATATGCTCCTCTAGACCTGCTGCTTCCACTGGTTTGCCCTAGGGGGAAGATTCACAGAGCGTATTTCTTTACCTCTTGAATGTGTGAATAAAATAGCTATGCAGTACTCCTGGGGAGCTTGGTGTCTGCCCGGGTATAATGCTGTCAGTATTCCCTGTGTATAGTGGAGGGGTGTGTGTGAGGAATCGTTGTGAGATAGCACAGCTTACCCTCAAAAAGCTGTGACTGAAAAGAGACAGGGGAACTAAATTTAGGAATTGGGCTGTTGGTGGAACCACTTCTTCCACTCACATTGTTTGCTTCCATAATGCTGGAGCAATATCCCTGGACAACGTGATTGTGACTGGATTTAAATGCTCTGATCTGAATTTATAATAAGGGGAAGTTATGATGTTAAAATAAGAAATCATACAGAGTGTACCTGATTTATTTGGAGGTGTGAAGAGGTTACTGCAAAAGCATGGAAAGTTTGATTTATGTATTGAATGATAATGGCTGGACTGATCCTGAGAACTGCTAGGTTGAGCCAGGAGTTGCAGTTGAAAGATTTGATTCAGAAGGAAATTACAATGAAACATGAAGTGCAGCAGAGGAGGGTTGACCCTGATTGCTGTCAGGCTGGACGTGCTGTGGAGCAGTTGGATGCAGAGAATAACTGGACAATCAGAAGTTGGTGGGGGTTTTTTGTTGTTTGTTTGTGGTTTTGGGTTTGGGGGTGGGGGTTGTTTGGGGTTTTGGTTTTGTTTTTTTTTTAAGGGGGCGGGGGGGAGAGAAAAAAGCTTACCCGGACAATAGCTGGAAAGTACCTGATGAAGCAGCAGCAGGACTACTCCTTGGTTGCAAATATCAGGCAACAAACTATTTCCAGTTACCGGTTACAGTTATTGTTAATGGTATCAATTAATAAAATAGCTGAGCAAGCAATTGCCATATTAAATCAGATCAAATATCCTTCTCATCTAGTGTCCTGTCATCAGCAGGAGATATATATTTTTTTTTTTAAACAAGAACATCAGAAGAAAATGCAGAAGAATCCTTGGTGTACAAGAGATGTGTGACAGATGAGTCTTCTGGTATGGATTTCACATATGTTCATATAAAGTGTCATCCAGTAAGAATGTGCTGAGAAAGACAGTAGTGCAATGCACTCTATTGGAGTTTCAGTGGTTGCAGTGCAGATATGTGTTGAAACAGAGTGATATGAACCATAGTTTGGAACAGGATTTTAGTAGGTCTTTTTCATTCATGCATTATTCTCATGTGGATATTTCTAGCATCTGTCTAGGGCTTTGGAGGGAACTGTGTCAGACTAAACACTTCTTAAACAAAGATTTTGGAAGACTTCCCAGATTGTGTGTTAGGTAAACCCTTCCTCCCACGTTTTTGTCTTTGAGGTGAGAAATGTTTCAGTGATTTCTGTGATGCTTGCTTTATTTCTACCAGGCAGAGTTGTTGGTGCTCTGAAGGCAACCGTGTCTTTTTGTG